ACAGTGTTGGGTTTAGGATCACTACCCGCGACTGAGCCAGTACCGGTAACAGTGCACGGCGAGACGGACGAAGTAGAATTTGCAGTACATGACCAATTATCGGTCCCGAACCTCCTGGGGAGGGTAGAGTTGGAACGGTTTGGTTTGGTGGAGAGAAGGTCCGGGAAGGCGTTGGTCCTGGCGGCGCAGAGAGGCGCGGTTGATGAGATACGGCTTGCGGAGAAGTACAAAGAGCAGCCACCAGTAGTAGAGGAGCGGTCGGAGGCCCCCTTCGAGAGGCAGCGGCAGGTGTTCGTGGAGGGCACGGGACACCTGGACCAGAGCCTGAGGGACGGGCTGTGGACTCTGTTGGTCGCATACAGAGACGTATGGGAGTACCCAAAGGTGGCGCGCGTCAAGTACGAGGCGCGTTTCGAGGCAAGCGGCAAGCCATACAAAGCGGGGTTGAGACATCTCGAGCCTGAGTTGCGGGCCGAGTTGAAGAAGCAAGTGGAGAAGCAGCAGGCCGTCAGCACTTCACGACTCTCGATATGAACTCGGGATTCTGGAACGTGCCAATAGCGGAGGAGAGCAAGCACCTCACCGCGTTCATCACACCGTTTGGGCTGCTCGAGTTCAATGTCATACCCTTCGGGATTAAGGACCCGGCGGAATTCCAGCGCGCGATGGACATGGTGTTCGAGGAGGTGTTGGACGATCGCACTCTGTGTTACATTAATGATATCATCATCGCAACGGACACGGTGCCGTCTTGCGACTGTCAGAGAGAGAGGCTTCTACCTCAGGCTAGATAAAAGCGAGTGGCTCAAGCCCGAAGTAAAGTACCTCGGTCACGGGATTGGGCGGCAAGGGATAGCGTGCCAGGAGAGGAAGATAGGCGACGTTCTCAATGCCCCCGCCCCGCCTCAAGGAAGGAACTGCAGAGCTTCCTAGGAGCCGTTGGGTATCTACGACCCTTCATCGCGCGATTCGCCGAGTACTCTGCCCCACTGTTCGAGTTGCTCAAGAAGGGCAGGTTGTTCGTCTGGCGGATGCTCGAGGAGAGGCGTTCGTGAAGCTGAAGCACAGTTCCAGGAGCGCCGCTCATCATCGAAACAGATGCCTCGGAGGTTGGCATTGGCGCGGTGTTGAAGCAGATGCAAGAGGGTAGAGAGGTCCCGTTAGAGTTCGCGTCTAAGAAGTTCACCGACGCGGAGAGAAAGTGGGATACGAGAGAGAGAGAGCTCTTCGCCGTCAAGTGGGCTGTAGAGAAGTGGTGCGACTACGTAGCGCTCCATCACTGCACCGTACGCACAGATCACGCCGACCTACTCTACCTTGT